TATTGCGATGTGTGGTACAATAGGAAGGATTGGAAGGTTTTTATATAATGAAAGCCATAGATGATAGAAGCAAATAGATGAGATTATATTGTTGAAGATTACAATATATCATATGGTCGTCTCCTTTATTGAACTCAATTCAAATGCCTTTGTTTATCTGTCGTTTTTCCTGCAAAACAAACATGAAGCTTAGCCTCAAATATATGCATACCCGTTTGAGTAATTATACGTTATCTTAATATACTCACCTTGTATCTTAGACTTATATAGTTCACGAGTCCTTATTGGCCTAGTAGTAGTAAGGCGATGGTGGGGGAGGAGGCGACTTGTACACGGGCGAGGGTGGCGGAGGAGACTTCTTTGGCGGTGGCGGAGGTGGAGACTTCTTTCGTGGCGGCGGTGGAGGAGGAGATTTCTTTGGTGCGGGTGGAGGGGGTGACTTCTTTCGTGGAGGTGGGGGCGGAGGAGATTTCTTTGGTGCGGGTGGAGGGGGTGACTTCTTTCGTGGAGGTGGGGGCGGAGGAGATTTCTTTGGTGCGGGTGGAGGGGGTGACTTCTTTCGTGGAGGTGGGGGCGGAGGAGATTTCTTTGGTGCGGGTGGAGGGGGTGACTTCTTTCGTGGAGGTGGTGGCGGAGGAGATTTCTTTGGTGCGGGTGGAGGGGGTGGCTTCTTTCGTGGAGGTGGTGGTGGAGGAGACTTCTTTACTTCCGGTGGAGGAGGAGATTTGTATTCGTCGTCCTTCTTAGGAGGTGGAGGAGAGTAGTAGGCAGGTGGTGGCGGCGAAGAGTATTTGACAGGTGGAGGAGGAGAATAGTAGTCGTCGTAGCCTTCAGCAGTTGTGGATGATGAGCTTAAAGCTACCACGCAAACTGCGATAACAAGATGGACAATGATAGACGGAGGACCCATTTTTGCTTATACTTTGGGTTTTCGTAATTCCGATTTTGAAATGAACATTTCTCGAGCTTTATATAGATCTAAAGTTCTTGATTACTCCTCAAATACTAACTAAGTCATTATAAATTGTAATTTAATTCAAAACATTAATATTACTTAATTAAGACGTAGAATTTGAAAGGTTAATTTTAATTAATCATTTATGTTGTAACATTATAGTTAATTTAGTTCGGTTGCATTCGTGAATGATAAACCCGTTAGTCTAATAAACAACTACACAACATAATACTTCATAAATTGAATTAAAAAAATATTAAAAAAAACTACTTTATAATTTTTAAATACCTTTAAAATAAAAATAAAATTACAAAAAACACCTCTACCATTAAATTTGGACGGAAATAATAATAATTTTTTTTTATTAATAAGTATGAGTATTTTTTAAAATTTAAAGGTATTATTAAATTTTTTAAAATAATTTTTTTTTTTTTTTTGGAGTATTTTTAGTAATGTAATTAAGAAAATAAAAAGGTAATTTGAGGTTTGAAGGGTGACGTACAAGTTTACTACTTTTGACTTTGGTAGAGAATGGACTCTCTATTGTAGGTTAAGAAGTACACGATTATCCATATATATATATATATATATATGTATACACGTCTTTACTTTTCAAATTTATTTAGTATTAACTACAATTCTTCGACGTATAAATTTCAATCCATTAAGACCATCCAAGTAATTGGTCTTACTATCGGCTCAGTCGGAAGAATTGTCTTATATATAATGACATGTGTCATCTATTTGATGTGATGTGTTATAAGGATATGTTATGTTATGATGCTATGATATGTTATGATGGCATGAGATGTATGACGATGTGATACATTGTGATGATATATCATGTTACGATGATATGTATGTATGAGATGTCATGTTACATTATGATATGAATATGTTTGGCAATGAAATAAATGTACGACATACTAAGACATGTATGGCAATGACGAGTTTATTGATGCACAATGCCTCAATAATGTTATGAATGATGTAATATAAGAAAGTTTATGCATGCATGTTATCTAGGGTAATATGTGAGGAATGTATGGAGTTGTGCCGCATGAATAGTTTAAGATAAAAAGTATAAGGACTTCACACATATTATCTATGTTCATATGCATCGGGATACTTCCCATTTTATGAGGAATATGAACGCCTATACTATGATGATGAGATGATCATCATGTTTGACATGATGCACAATGGTCACTGTAGTCGCTGTAACTCTGGGCGTCCAGCTACAACCAACTAGCCCAACCAGCAAGCCTAGGAATGTGTGAGCCTGCTTAATAGGCCCACGCTCGCATTTAAATACAACTTAAATTATAATTAAATAATGCAAGGAATGAAATGTGTTTATTTGTCATCCTTGGACTAGTTCCATAAATTTTAGTTGAGTTCATTAAATACAACTTAAAGTGCATTAAATGCCTGTCTTTCTTGAAGCTCAACATATAATGAAGGTCTCCAACGTTTTCTAGAATTTCCTTTGATTAAAATTTTATTTCAAGGATATTAATGAAATATTCTAAAATTCAAAAATATTTTCGAAACAAAAATACTAACCGTTTCGGGTATGAATATTTTTTAAAATTTAAAGGTATTATTAAAAAAAATTAAAATAATTTTTTTAAAGATAAAATAGAAACTTTAATGGAATATTTTTAGTAATGTAATTAAGAAAATAAAAAGGTAATTTAAGGTTTGAAGGGTGACGTACAAGTTTATCCCTAGAGCTCTAGAAGTGAATACCGTTAAATTCGTTAATGTTGGTAATGGGGCATTGAGACAATATTAAAAATTGAAGAATGGTAATACGCAATGGGTAACACTTTTGACTTTGTGTAGAGAATGGACTCTATATTGTAGCTTAAGAAATGCACGATTATCCATATATACACACACGTCTTTACTTTAACGACCCTTTCTCGACGCATTAAATTTCAATTTAATTTTTATAATCATTTCGTGGTGTCTTGCACACAATTGTTCAATTTTAAAAATATTATCTATACTGTGATACTCGAGTAAAATAGGAGTACATGAATGAACCGAGACGACATCTAAATGAGAGTCATCTTAAGTGTAAAGACCCAACATTCGATATACTTACCCATCGGAGTTGTTACCGAAAAATAACAATTTTATAGTTTAAAATGCTAAAAGAAAAGGAAACTCAGTCATATCCCCCTACCCAAGGTTATATATGCTAAGTCGTTGTTATCTCTCTCTTGCTTGCTTAAATAACGTCTCTTTCTAAAATCTCTCTCTACCCTCGTTTTCTAAAACTTTCTTTCAAAATCGAGGCTAGAGACTCGATCATACGTCGCTTGGCTGTAGGCGATGCAAAAACAAATTAGCTTAGCTCACTTGTCGTTGGAAAGTGAGTGCCGCACAATCGCTAGTCCACTACCTTTAAAAGTGCGATTGTGTCAAGTGGTATCAAAGCAATGGGCAGAAATCACATTGCAGGATAGTAGACAGGGACAGTGGGAGTCTCGTTAATCCATTCATGCGCGTCACTAATTAGATGACGAGGCATTTGACTACCTTAAGAGAGTCATAGTTACTCCCGCCGTTTACCCGCGCTTGGTTGAATGTCAAGAAGCGTTTTAAATAAAGAAAAGGTAAAATCTCCTAAGTTGTTCCATGACTGCTTCTCTACACGACCCGTCGCGACCTTACTTTGACCTGAAAATCATTTTTTTTTAAATGTGAATATTGCAAATACTCTGTAAAAACTCTTCAATTGAGGTCGAATATGTTACTCATCGTATAACTAATCAAACAAAATCGAGAGACCTTAGTAGTTAATTATTTGAAACATACAACATGTAATTTTCTCACGGAAGCTATTTTCAGCAATCACTCCTCAAAGTGATCACTAATAGCTAGTTAAAAAGTGTCCCACTTGACGGTTCGATGTTAGTTGGAGAATACATTTTCTAACGGTTTTAGGTCAATTTCATGGCTAATTCGGCTTGGATCTTATATGCTCGAACCCTTTCCTACAAATTTCAATTGAAATATTGTTGACTTTGTGTAAGGACGACTATCATACATACTTCAAACTTATTTAGTATTGAAAATAACATTAAATTTTAATTTAATTTAATTTAATTTATATAATCATTGAGATGATGTCTTGCACACTAATGCTAAATTTTAAAAACATGGATTTTATAACGACTCATTCTTATATACACGAGGGTCGTTGCTGAAGCGTTTTTATACTGGAGTAAAAGAACGACACATGAATGAATCGAAATCACATGTAACGATCCTAATTTTTTATAGGCTTAGAGTCGCTATCATATGCATGACATATCGTTTTTATGCGAAAACATTCATTTAAAACGACTTCATAACGATGTCATGGACTTATACGTTTACGAAAATATCTTAAAACAAGACAACGAAAATATTCAAAGTAAATTAAAATAAAACCAAGAAAAATATTGAAATAACAGTGTCCTACACTAACCTAAGATATACGAAGGTACTGCAACTACCCTATGTAGGTTTCATTGTCTTTAATGTGATGTCGCTGTCAAATGTACGGGGGTGTCTTATCTTTACTTGAAATATAAAAGTAGCACATGATTTGAATAAATTAAGAAATACTCAATAAGTGACTTCACTGTTAGGGTAAGGAAATGCAAACACATGCAATCATAAATTGAGACTTATCATTTAAAACCATAGTGTCTTAGGTGGCCTCCAGTCTGGGCATATTGGATGTGTAATACTTCCCTACACACGACCCACAGGTGCGAGCGTGAGCCTACTAAGCAGGCTCACACATCCATGGGCTTGCTGGTTGGGCTAGTTGGTTGTAGCTGGACGCCCGGATTTACAGCGACTACAGTGACCATTGTGCATCATGTCAAACATGATGATCATCTCATCATCATAGTATAGGCGTTCATATTCCTCATAAAATGGGAAGTATCCCGATGCATATGAACATAGATAATATGTGTGAAGTCCCTATACTTTTTATCTTAAACTATTCATGCGGCACAACTCCATACATTCCTCACATATTACCCTAGATAACATGCATGCATAAACTTTCTTATATTTACATCATTCATAACATTACTGAGGCATTGTGCATCAATAAACTCGTCATTGCCATACATGTCTTAGTATGTCGTACATTTATTTCATTGCCAAACATGTTCATGTCATGTTCATAATGTAACATGATATCTCATACATACATATCATCGTAACATGATATATCATCACAATGTATCACATCGTCATACATCTCATGTCATCATAACATATCATAGCATCATAACATAACATATCCTTATAACACATCACATCAAATAGATGACACATGTCATTATATATAAGACAATTCTTCCGACTGAGCCGATAGTAAGACCAATTACTTGGATGGTCTTAATGGATTGAAATTTATACGTCGAAGAATTGTAGTTAATACTAAATAAATTTGAAAAGTAAAGACGTGTATATATATATATATATATATATATATATATACACGTCTTTACTTTTCAAATTTATTTAGTATTAACTACAATTCTTCGACGTATAAATTTCAATCCATTAAGACCATCCAAGTAATTGGTCTTACTATCGGCTCAGTCGGAAGAATTGTCTTATATATAATGACATGTGTCATCTATTTGATGTGATGTGTTATAAGGATATGTTATGTTATGATGCTATGATATGTTATGATGACATGAGATGTATGACGATGTGATACATTGTGATGATATATCATGTTACGATGATATGTATGTATGAGATATCATGTTACATTATGAACATGACATGAACATGTTTGGCAATGAAATAAATGTACGACATACTAAGACATGTATGGCAATGACGAGTTTATTGATGCACAATGCCTCAGTAATGTTATGAATGATGTAAATATAAGAAAGTTTATGCATGCATGTTATCTAGGGTAATATGTGAGGAATGTATGGAGTTGTGCCGCATGAATAGTTTAAGATAAAAAGTATAGGGACTTCACACATATTATCTATGTTCATATGCATCGGGATACTTCCCATTTTATGAGGAATATGAACGCCTATACTATGATGATGAGATGATCATCATGTTTGACATGATGCACAATGGTCACTGTAGTCGCTGTAAATCCGGGCGTCCAGCTACAACCAACTAGCCCAACCAGCAAGCCCATGGATGTGTGAGCCTGCTTAGTAGGCTCACGCTCGCACCTGTGGGTCGTGTGTAGGGAAGTATTACACATCCAATATGCCCAGACTGGAGGCCACCTAAGACACTATGGTTTTAAATGATAAGTCTCAATTTATGATTGCATGTGTTTGCATTTCCTTACCCTAACAGTGAAGTCACTTATTGAGTATTTCTTAATTTATTCAAATCATGTGCTACTTTTATATTTCAAGTAAAGATAAGACACCCCCGTACATTTGACAGCGACATCACATTAAAGACAATGAAACCTACATAGGGTAGTTGCAGTACCTTCGTATATCTTAGGTTAGTGTAGGACACTGTTATTTCAATATTTTTCTTGGTTTTATTTTAATTTACTTTGAATATTTTCGTTGTCTTGTTTTAAGATATTTTCGTAAACGTATAAGTCCATGACATCGTTATGAAGTCGTTTTAAATGAATGTTTTCGCATAAAAACGATATGTCATGCATATGATAGCGACTCTAAGCCTATAAAAAATTAGGATCGTTACATGTGATTTCGATTCATTCATGTGTCGTTCTTTTACTCCAGTATAAAAACGCTTCAGCAACGACCCTCGTGTATATAAGAATGAGTCGTTATAAAATCCATGTTTTTAAAATTTAGCATTAGTGTGCAAGACATCATCTCAATGATTATATAAATTAAATTAAATTAAATTAAAATTTAATGTTATTTTCAATACTAAATAAGTTTGAAGTATGTATGATAGTCGTCCTTACACAAAGTCAACAATATTTCAATTGAAATTTGTAGGAAAGGGTTCGAGCATATAAGATCCAAGCCGAATTAGCCATGAAATTGACCTAAAACCGTTAGAAAATGTATTCTCCAACTAACATCGAACCGTCAAGTGGGACACTTTTTAACTAGCTATTAGTGATCACTTTGAGGAGTGATTGCTGAAAATAGCTTCCGTGAGAAAATTACATGTTGTATGTTTCAAATAATTAACTACTAAGGTCTCTCGATTTTGTTTGATTAGTTATACGATGAGTAACATATTCGACCTCAATTGAAGAGTTTTTACAGAGTATTTGCAATATTCACATTTAAAAAAAAATGATTTTCAGGTCAAAGTAAGGTCGCGACGGGTCGTGTAGAGAAGCAGTCATGGAACAACTTAGGAGATTTTACCTTTTCTTTATTTAAAACGCTTCTTGACATTCAACCAAGCGCGGGTAAACGGCGGGAGTAACTATGACTCTCTTAAGGTAGTCAAATGCCTCGTCATCTAATTAGTGACGCGCATGAATGGATTAACGAGACTCCCACTGTCCCTGTCTACTATCCTGCAATGTGATTTCTGCCCATTGCTTTGATACCACTTGACACAATCGCACTTTTAAAGGTAGTGGACTAGCGATTGTGCGGCACTCACTTTCCAACGACAAGTGAGCTAAGCTAATTTGTTTTTGCATCGCCTACAGCCAAGCGACGTATGATCGAGTCTCTAGCCTCGATTTTGAAAGAAAGTTTTAGAAAACGAGGGTAGAGAGAGATTTTAGAAAGAGACGTTATTTAAGCAAGCAAGAGAGAGATAACAACGACTTAGCATATATAACCTTGGGTAGGGGGATATGACTGAGTTTCCTTTTCTTTTAGCATTTTAAACTATAAAATTGTTATTTTTCGGTAACAACTCCGATGGGTAAGTATATCGAATGTTGGGTCTTTACACTTAAGATGACTCTCATTTAGATGTCGTCTCGGTTCATTCATGTACTCCTATTTTACTCGAGTATCACAGTATAGATAATATTTTTAAAATTGAACAATTGTGTGCAAGACACCACGAAATGATTATAAAAATTAAATTGAAATTTAATGCGTCGAGAAAGGGTCGTTAAAGTAAAGACGTGTGTGTATATATGGATAATCGTGCATTTCTTAAGCTACAATATAGAGTCCATTCTCTACACAAAGTCAAAAGTGTTACCCATTGCGTATTACCATTCTTCAATTTTTAATATTGTCTCAATGCCCCATTACCAACATTAACGAATTTAACGGTATTCACTTCTAGAGCTCTAGGGATAAACTTGTACGTCACCCTTCAAACCTTAAATTACCTTTTTATTTTCTTAATTACATTACTAAAAATATTCCATTAAAGTTTCTATTTTATCTTTAAAAAAATTATTTTAATTTTTTTTAATAATACCTTTAAATTTTAAAAAATATTCATACCCGAAACGGTTAGTATTTTTGTTTCGAAAATATTTTTGAATTTTAGAATATTTCATTAATATCCTTGAAATAAAATTTTAATCAAAGGAAATTCTAGAAAACGTTGGAGACCTTCATTATATGTTGAGCTTCAAGAAAGACAGGCATTTAATGCACTTTAAGTTGTATTTAATGAACTCAACTAAAATTTATGGAACTAGTCCAAGGATGACAAATAAACACATTTCATTCCTTGCATTATTTAATTATAATTTAAGTTGTATTTAAATGCGAGCGTGGGCCTATTAAGCAGGCTCACACATTCCTAGGCTTGCTGGTTGGGCTAGTTGGTTGTAGCTGGACGCCCAGAGTTACAGCGACTACAGTGACCATTGTGCATCATGTCAAACATGATGATCATCTCATCATCATAGTATAGGCGTTCATATTCCTCATAAAATGGGAAGTATCCCGATGCATATGAACATAGATAATATGTGTGAAGTCCTTATACTTTTTATCTTAAACTATTCATGCGGCACAACTCCATACATTCCTCACATATTACCCTAGATAACATGCATGCATAAACTTTCTTATATTACATCATTCATAACATTATTGAGGCATTGTGCATCAATAAACTCGTCATTGCCATACATGTCTTAGTATGTCGTACATTTATTTCATTGCCAAACATATTCATATCATAATGTAACATGACATCTCATACATACATATCATCGTAACATGATATATCATCACAATGTATCACATCGTCATACATCTCATGCCATCATAACATATCATAGCATCATAACATAACATATCCTTATAACACATCACATCAAATAGATGACACATGTCATTATATATAAGACAATTCTTCCGACTGAGCCGATAGTAAGACCAATTACTTGGATGGTCTTAATGGATTGAAATTTATACGTCGAAGAATTGTAGTTAATACTAAATAAATTTGAAAAGTAAAGACGTATATATATATATATATATATATATATATGGATAATCGTGTACTTCTTAACCTACAATAGAGAGTCCATTCTCTACCAAAGTCAAAAGTAGTAAACTTGTACGTCACCCTTCAAACCTCAAATTACCTTTTTATTTTCTTAATTACATTACTAAAAATACCTCAAAAAAAAAAAAAAAATTATTTTAAAAAATTTAATAATACCTTTAAATTTTAAAAAATACTCATACTTATTAATAAAAAAAAATTATTATTATTTCCGTCCAAATTTAATGGTAGAGGTGTTTTTTGTAATTTTATTTTTATTTTAAAGGTATTTAAAAATTATAAAGTAGTTTTTTTTAATATTTTTTTAATTCAATTTATGAAGTATTATGTTGTGTAGTTGTTTATTAGACTAACGGGTTTATCATTCACGAATGCAACCGAACTAAATTAACTATAATGTTACAACATAAATGATTAATTAAAATTAACCTTTCAAATTCTACGTCTTAATTAAGTAATATTAATGTTTTGAATTAAATTACAATTTATAATGACTTAGTTAGTATTTGAGGAGTAATCAAGAACTTTAGATCTATATAAAGCTCGAGAAATGTTCATTTCAAAATCGGAATTACGAAAACCCAAAGTATAAGCAAAAATGGGTCCTCCGTCTATCATTGTCCATCTTGTTATCGCAGTTTGCGTGGTAGCTTTAAGCTCATCATCCACAACTGCTGAAGGCTACGACGACTACTATTCTCCTCCTCCACCTGTCAAATACTCTTCGCCGCCACCACCTGCCTACTACTCTCCTCCACCTCCTAAGAAGGACGACGAATACAAATCTCCTCCTCCACCGGAAGTAAAGAAGTCTCCTCCACCACCACCTCCACGAAAGAAGCCACCCCCTCCACCCGCACCAAAGAAATCTCCTCCGCCCCCACCTCCACGAAAGAAGTCGCCCCCTCCACCCGCACCAAAGAAATCTCCTCCTCCACCGCCGCCACGAAAGAAGTCTCCACCTCCGCCACCGCCAAAGAAGTCTCCTCCGCCACCCTCGCCCGTGTACAAGTCGCCTCCTCCCCCACCATCGCCTTACTACTACTAGGCCAATAAGGACTCGTGAACTATATAAGTCTAAGATACAAGGTGAGTATATTAAGATAACGTATAATTACTCAAACGGGTATGCATATATTTGAGGCTAAGCTTCATGTTTGTTTTGCAGGAAAAACGACAAATAAACAAAGGCATTTGAATTGAGTTCAATAAAGGAGACGACCATATGATATATTGTAATCTTCAACAATATAATCTCATCTATTTGCTTCTATCATCTATGGCTTTCATTATATAAAAACCTTCCAATCCTTCCTATTGTACCACACATCGCAATATAATATAATATTTACTTTCAAATATATTTTCTTTTCTTTTTTAATTTAAATATTATGTTAATTCATATAATTCAACCATCGTTCACAACAGAGAATACTCAAACAGATATTGTCGTGTTTTTGAGTTAAAATAAAATGCTAGGCAAAATTTAGCTCTTCAGCAATATGTAAAATAGCAATATGTCAGCGTAAGCCCATCATCCGCATGTATTGTCTTCTTTGAGTTTTTGTTTGCATATATTGTTCTTGTTTTTGTTTTTAAAATGCATATGCTAGAGAGAGGTTTCCACATCTTACAAAAAAAAATGTTCCTTTCCGCTCTTCAACCGATGTTGGATCTCACAATCCACCCTCGCTAGCTCTCATTCAGCGCTCGTTCCTCTCTCCAAACGATGTGGGATCTCACAATCTACCCCTTTCAGGGCTCAACACTCTTGCTAGCACACCACCTGATGTCCACCTCCATTTGAAGCTCAACATCCTCACTAGCACAATGTCTGATGTATGGCTCTAATATCATTTGTAAGAACCTAAGTCCACCATGTCTGGCTCTATCATTAGCAAGAACTCAAGCCCACCACTAAAAAAAATATGTTCTTTTTGAGCTTTTTCTTTCGAACTTCCCCTCAAAATTAAATACTTTGCTCCTCTCCAACCAAGGTGGCATATTTGAGGTCCAACGCCCTACACTCATTCCTCTCTCCAATCAATGTGAAATGTACGGATTTCCATTACTATGGAGTTCATTTTCAACCTCAAGTAGTCCAATTCTAACGAAAAAGCATTATTGATAGTCCAAGACCATACATATTGATAAATATAACTACTGTCTATTTGATCAATAGATAGATAAACTGAAATAACCATAACTATACTTAACAATAAAATACTCAGAAAAGACCACATACGTCTCTTTAAAAGTAGAAGTCTCACTCCTATTAAGAATCCAATGAGCCATTGACACATGAACATATGAATGACTAACAGTCACTTCTTTAAAGAGAGTGTGTTAGGGCTAATCCATTCCAAGTCTTCGGAACAAACAGAATTTAACAAAAATATCCAATAATGGGATGTTGATGAAAAGACTTATTGGCAAAAACAGAATCCACGTTCTGAGTTTCTGTGCATTTGAGAGGGTTTATACAGAATTAAGAAAACGAACTAGAGGAAGCGGGCTGCAACATGAATCGACGCACGTTCTTTCAGTCATCATCCAGAGACCGTCTTCTTTTGCTGAAAGACGACTGCAAAGATTGGAACGCCCACTCCAATGCTGAATGCAGTGAGTACTCCAAGCGTCATGGTCAGCTTCTGATTTTTCATCCTGTCCAAGTTGTACATATGCTTGGCGTGCAAATAATATGGTTCATCATGTCCATGAGCATGTCCTCCCATTTTCTTCACACCAGTTGAGTGAATCCCTCGATTAGCTGCGGAACGAGATCACATTGAACCATCATTTTTTGGATTTCAACACCTCGATTCATACATGACCATTATGAATTCGGAGAAATAGACAGATCGTTATCTATGAAACACAAAAATATCGTGCAAATGCATAATTTTCATACCAGAAAACTTAAGACAAGAAGATGCTCATACATTTATATTCTAAAAAGTACATGAGCGATGTCTTTTGATGCTAAGATTTATTAATTGTGTCCTTCGTTACTATTTATATCCATCATAATTGTTCCATACGTGCCTAACAAGGGTTGAAATCGCACCAACTTTCTACCACTAGTATATGATACAAATATATGATGGTAACGAATGTCAAGGACACTTTACCTAATTCGAAGCGACAATGCTTCGAAGACTATTAACACGAGGCCGCTCTGTACTAATCCAGAATTTCAAAGAGGCAAAATTTTGTTGGGACAGAACCCAGAACTAAAATCTTCAACAAATTTGCAGTATTTATCTATGACAAGGAATTTTGAAATATGTGACAGCATGATTTTCCCCTGGAAGTAAGCTTCGCAATAGACATTAATACACGTGATTGAACTTTTTGAATGAAACATTAGTGTGCAATAGGCAATCCAGCATCCATCGCTAAAACCAGAATTGTAAGTAAATAAAAATATTTAAATGTTCTTAATGAAAAACCGAACTTTCATTGAGAGAAAATATGTAAGACGGGTCTAAAGAAAGAACCCACAACACTTACAAAAACCGTATCCGACCCAAGTAAATAGAATTTAGTGGATAAATCAAGAAACATTTAGTCACATACACTCACAGACAATCTAAATATATAGAACATAGTGGATAATTTAAGAAAAACTTGGTCACATACACTCACGAAAACATTAAACCTAATGCAGGACCATACCACACTCAAAAGCCTCTCAAACCCTCTAAAAATTCTTTAGTTCCTTTCTCCCTAAAGCCCTTAAATAATAGTGCACACCCAGCATGCCACAAAAACCTTTCTTGCTCGCAAGAAGGAGAGTGAAGAAGAAACTCCTCGATCATATCTCTGCAACCTTTGTGTCTAGTTAAACTCAAACAAAACCCATCTAACAACCGGCTCTAAACTGCAAACACATCATTACACAACCAAAGAATATGACTCAGATCCTCCTCCGCCACCCTTTTGGGGACCCTCCTCAAAACCCTAACTAAGGTATTGATTCTACCATGGAGAACCTTCTAGATAAAAAAAAAAAAGAAAAAAAAAAAAAAAAATAACCATCTTCAAAATTTTCACCTTCCACAACCAGTCAGTCACTCAAAGGAGAAGGGTTCACATGACAAAGAAAAAAGGATTTACACAAGAACTCTTTCAACAGAACAAGGACTCCAAATACGAACATACCTTCCCACAAAGTTACAATGGAAGCCCCCAGTCATCGATAGGAGATTGATGACATCTAGCATTTCCCAGTCAGATAAAGCACGACCAAAACCCAGCGACAGAGAAGACAAAGGCTAAGACAACACTACCACACCAAAACGATCCCTCATTGAGATAACTAGTATAAGTTACAGACTACAAAGCAAAGGGATTTATCCCCCATCACTTATCCTCCCAAAAAAAAGGGCCCTCCTTATCCCCATCTGAGTTACAAAAATAAAGAGAGAAAAAGGATTCTACTCTACAATACCCTACAAGGACCTACGATGCAATCCAAAGTAATGACTCTATTGCTATGGTGCAAAAAAATTGATATTCATAGAAATTTAGTCCGTCAACAGCCAGAAAAAGAAAGAAACCTATAAAGAGAGAGATCCACCCAACTACGGAAAATGAACCACATGCAAGCCCTTCCCAAAGAACTGCAGAACCAAAGACAGAGAATCATTTCTCCCCATACTAACAAAAAAACCATACCAAAGACACAAGAGCCACATATCTTATGTTCCACTATCAAACAAAGGACAATAAAACCAAGAGCAAGAGTGGAGAAGTTTCCAAAAGAAGGTAAAACTGAAATCATCAAATGAGTCCTCATTGAGTATAGTTGGAGCAAAGGGGGGTCTATACCTCAACGACTTATCCTCCATGTATACTTAAGTATCAGACCCATCGTTGAAAAAAGAAAAACCCTCAAATGTAGCTTTCCATAGATTTCTAGAGGACCCTTCCTTTCAAACCCTAGCTAGAGGACCATTGGAAGGTGGACCATGCTTACTAACAATAACCTTATACCACAAGATGTCAATCTCCCGAGGAAACGCTATGTAGCCAACAAGACTTCATCTCAAGCCCTCTAGTTATCAATGCCTAAGCCCCTTAAAATCCAACAACTTGGACACCACTTTCTACTAGACTAAATTGACACCTTTACCCTCATCGGTCATTCTGCCTATACAAAATGACTCATAAACTTCTCTAACCTTTTGTTGATTGAGACAAGGGCCCCTAAACAAAGAGAGGAAGTAAGTCAAGATCCACTCAAAACTAGACAAAAGTTAGACTGCCTCCTATAGAGGAAAAACTCATGTTCCATTAGAAGAGACACCTTTACATCGTTTCCAAAACAACAAAGTTCTAAGATTGTGTCCTACGCATAATTTTACTTTCTGATAATCATTTGTTGTGTTTTTCAGCTGATTCTTTTTTGTTACTGTCATTTTTTTACAATTCCTTCATTTTACTTCTATTTTGATTCATGATTTGATTGTTTCATTATTTAAAACTGTCTGAGAAGAACCTAGAACTACACTAAGATGAATTTGTATAAGATTGTAGCACGTTAAAATCATGTGCAAAAATTGTGAAACGTAAGGTTTAGTAAATCTAAATTGCCAGCTAGCAAGTAACAAAACCTGATTTCACCAACAATGATTCTGAAGACTTCAGCAGCTTTGCGCAGGATTTAACTCCATTGACCATGGCCATTTTCTCTGCTAGCAGTTAGTTCTCCCTTTTGCTGATTTTCTCAAACAAGAGTTCTTTTACAAATAAGATAATTTTAATAAGTTCATAGAATACAAATGATTACTAAAGGCTACTCTAGTTTGCCGGGCGTGGAGGAGCAAATTGCCACAGGAAACCAAAAAACGAATTAATCTGAAATTCTATTCATGATTAAAAACAAGTTTGACCAAATAAAAAACATGATGAAGCACCACTATTATGGAAGGATTATGACGTATAGTACTCAGCCAAACCTATAAAAGGATAACGAATAATCGGAAGCTCTAAAGAGCCACAAGCAAATTAGAAAAATGAAAACAAACAATTAAATACAAACGGATACAAATCCCAGACCTCTTCGAATAACACTAGATGGGATTATAACAAAAAGGAAATCATAAAATCTTCATCCTTGTCATTTGCTTCGTATAAACACATAAAACTTTAAAGCAACTATCACATTCTTCATTTCAGATCACTAAAAGATGCAATTAAGAAAACATCCCACACAAAATCCAGAAGCAAATCCACAGATCTGAACCACAGGAAAGGAAACTACAAAATTCCATCCGAAACAGATCCTGAAGATTAGTTTTCCTTCAACATGAAATCGATCACGACAATTGCAAAAAATGAGAACGAAAGGGGAAAAAACAAAGCATAAGTTAAAAATCAAAGGCCGATCAAGAAATGAGAAACAATCATGAAATCAGATAAACAAAAAAACAGAGCAAATTGTTGGCTTACAGGAATGGGTTGTCGGAAAACTGATCCCTCTTGTTCTCACGGTGACGAAGAGCGAATGAATTTTGATGTGAAGAAGGGAAGCATTTTATACACACGTCACCAATTAGGGCAACTTTAACCAAAAAAAAAAAAAAAAATTAAAATTTAAAATTGCAACATTGAAAATTAAGTAAAATTATTTTTAGCTCAAATAATTAATATAACAATTTTTTTTTTTTTTTTTGGTTAATATTTTCAATTTCACTCCTAATTTAATTTCCTTAAAAACAAATCTTTTGACGTAATAAAAATTTAAATTGAGCCCTACAAAATTAACATTGGTTAATAAAATCATTATCTTTTGTTTTGTTTTATTATGTTACTAAGTCGGCACGTGAGCATAATTGCTCGAACAAATTGATTTCGTTGATTTAGTTTTTTTTTTTTGTGTTAATTTTTTCATAAATTTAACGTCGATACGTAACTGGTCAAAGTGGGTTAGGTCTGCTAATAGTGAGTTTGAGTTGTTATAAATGGTATCAAAACCCTAAGTTTTTAGATTCTATAGACGAGGCAGTGCAGTGTTCCAGTAATGTCAATCGACTCATTGTAAATTATTTTACCCATTATTGAAAAGTCATCAAATGAAATGAAACATTCTCAAAAGTCGAACTCTATTCTATTCCTCTGTTTGTTTTAAACGCCATAAAATTTTACCATATTTTATTATTTTTATTACTCAAGGTCTCGAAAATCGAGTTTTAACATATAATTTAACGATGAAGGGCATATTTGGAAATTCACCTTCATAATTAAGACAATAATGTAAAATTTTCACGAGCTTTCCGCATGTGACAAAATTGAAAGTATGTTTGTCTACATTTTTCCATTTTTACCCTTTAGGTTGGTTAGGGATGTTCTTAAATCCTAGGGGCATGTTTGACAAATGTGTTTTTAATTGTTAAACCCGACTCTACACAATAGTATGATATTGCTTTGAGCATAAGCTTTCATGGCTTTGCTTTGAACTTCCGAAAAGGCCCTATGCCAATTGAGAGAGAAACATGATTGAAAAAAAGGATTCATCGGGGTCGAGTCGACCCGAACCGAATACGCGAACCATGTCCATCGGCCCAATACCCATCGTCGGCCCAAACATCAACCCAGTCCAGCTGTAGAGGCCCACTCCCCAAACCCGAACCGTGACTCGCGTCGTCCTGCAACCCGAGTTCTCTTGGCCCAAAACCAATCTAGCCTAATAGCCCAAGGCTCAAACTTACCTATAGCCGACGACCTGCAAGCCAACCCGAAGTGCCGCGTGGCAACCAGCGGCACGAGCAGCCTCGGCTTGGTGACGCAGCGGCGACTCCGACGGCTTCCCGGTGACTTTTTCGGCGGCTTCTTGGCTGTTTTCGACTCGGCTTGTCATTTTTAGCCCGATTTCCATCATTTTGACCCTCCTCGACCTGTTTTCGGTCCGAGTTAAGGTAATTGAGGCCGTTTTAGAGTCGTATTTCACATTTTTAGTTGGATTATCAATTAAAATGTGAAATACTAACAAAAAGTGACTAACGATGCGATAGGAAGCGAATCCCGACAACTTTGAAGCAGCTCCCGAGGAACGGGAGCTTATGTTAATTAAATTAGGGAGTACTTCGACTAAGGTCAACCAAGTAAGTGACATTACTATAGGATAGGCTAAAAAATTGTATGAGTTATATCTTATAGTGTCGTATAATAGTATATGATGATGTGTGAGTTATGATGATGCATTTTACGATAATATGATGAGTATGATGATTGCATGACGTTTACCTTAATATAATGATATTTTCCATATTGAGCATGTTATATGATAATGAGTGTCATATTGCATCATGTCGTTAGATCGACATAGGACACAACCCTAAGAGTATGAAAATGATATCAATATAAATATCCACGAGTATGTGTTACTTAATGTAACAAAGAGATGAGACTAAGGGTTGTGTCAGAAGAGATGATAAGATGGACGTTAGAGGGACCTCATGCATATTGGTAAGCATAGGAATATTTCCCCTAGAGATAATGAGTGCGGACGCACATAGTATGATGATGAGTGTGAATGCGCACAGTATGACGAGCAGGGTGTTCATGAGGTGCATGACACTATGGGGTTCCGCTGACCTCCGAATGTTGATACAAATTAGCTTGACAAGAGGGTCCAGGGGGTGCACAAGCGCCCTAGAGATTCACACTCGCATGTGTGGGTCGTGTGTAGGAAAGTACTACACATCCAATTTGTTCGAGACTTAGGCCACCCCTAGATAAGTTAAAGATAGGTCTCTAAATCATGATGACATGTGTTTGCATTTGCATAACCCCTATAGTGGGACCACTTATTGAGTATTCTTCAAAATACTACCCTGTGCCACATCATTTTTCAGGTAAAGACAATGTGCACTTGTACGAAGGATGACGACATCGCGAGTAGAGACTATGGCACGTGCATAGGGTAGACTCATATTTAAATTCTTAGTCTTAGGTTAGAATAGGTTCTTTTGCATTTCATCGTTTTAAATTATTTTGTATCTGTTTTTGTTTTTTTCTCAATTTCAGTATTTAATATTTAAACACGTAAGAACATGACTATGTTTTTAAGATAAGAAATTATTTTAAACGTTTTCAGAATTTATGTTATAAATGATGTTCATTTTAAGAGCTATATTTCGACACGAGACATCGCTAGTTTTAATTTACAATTATGAATATGAGACGTTAGTTATGTATGACCACTAAAACTCATGCAAGTGAAGGAACGTAAAAGCTTTAATTTTATTGATCAATAGTATTCGAAAAACAAGATGGGTAGAAACAATTAAAAGTATCATAGATGCAATCAACAAACAAATTAAAAGGCCTTCTTCTTTGTATAACATCGATCATGATCTTCATTTGGCTATCCCCTTACTTAAGATTAGAGTACGTATGTTAACCTAAAAGTACAACGGTGGCGGAGGTGAATTGTAAATGTACTTTGTTGGTGGTGAAGAGTAGTAGACAGGTGGTGGAAGATATTTGTAGACGGGTGGTGGAGGAGAGTAGTACACAGGAGGTGGAGGAGACGAGTAGACTGGCGGAGGAGGAGATTTATAGACAGGTGGAGGAGGAGAGTAGTACACGGGAGGTGGAGGAGACGAGTAGACTGGCGGAGGAGGAGATTTATAGACAGGTGGAGGAGGAGACGAGTAGACTGGAGGAGGAGGAGATTTATAGACAGGTGGAGGAGGAGAGTAGTACACGGGAGGTGGAGACGAGTAGACTGGCGGAGGAGGAGATTTATAGACAGGTGGAGGAGGAGAGTAGTACACAGGAGGTGGAGGAGACGAGTAGACTGGCGGAGGAGGAGATTTATAGACAGGTGGAGGAGGAGAGTAGTACACGGGAGGTGGAGACGAGTAGACTGGCGGAGGAGGAGATTTATAGACAGGTGGAGGAGGAGAGTAGTACACAGGAGGTGGAGGAGACGAGTAGACTGGCGGAGGAGGAGATTTATAGACAGGTGGAGGAGGAGACGAGTAAACTGGAGGAGGAGGAGATTTATAGACAGGTGGAGGAGGAGAGTAGTACACGGGAGGTGGAGACGAGTAGACTGGCGGAGGAGGAGATTTATAGACAGGTGGAGGAGGAGACGAGTAGACTGGCGGAGGAGGAGATTTATAGACAGGTGGAGGAGGAGACGAGTAGACTGGAGGAGGAGGAGATTTATAGACAGGTGGAGGAGGAAAGTAGTACACGGGAGGTGGAGGAGACGAGTAGACTGGCGGAGGAGGAGATTTATAGACAGGTGGAGGAGGAGACGAGTAGACTGGAGGAGGAGGAGATTTATAGACAGGTGGAGGAGGAGACGAGTAGACTGGAGGAGGAGGAGATTTATAGACAGGTGGAGGAGGAGAGTAGTACACGGGAGGTGGAGGAGACAAGTAGACTGGTGGAGGGGGAGATTTATAGACAGGGGGTGGAGGGGAGTAATACACAGGAGGTGGAGGAGATGGGTAGACTGGCGGTGGTGGAGATTTATAGACAGGTGGTGGAGGAGAGTAGTACACGGGAGGTGGAGGAGAGTAGTAAACAGGAGGTGGAGGAGACGGGTATATTGGCGGTGGTGGAGATTTATAGACAGGTGGAGGAGGAGAATAGTACACAGGAGGTGGAGGAGACGGATATACTGGTGGTGGTGGAGATTTGTAGACAGGTGGAGGAGGAGAGTAGTACACAGGCGGTGGAGGAGACGAGTAGACTGGTGGAGGAGGAGAGTAGTACACAGGAGGTGGAGGAGACGAGTAGACCGGCGGAGGAGGAGATTTATAAACTGGTGGAGGCGGAGAGTAGTACACGGGAGGTGGAGGAGACGAGTAGACAGGCGGAGGAGGAGATTTATAAACAGGTGGAGGAGGAGAGTAGTACACAGGAGGGGGAGGAGACGAGTAGACCGGTGGAGGGGGGGATTTGTAGACAGGCGGTGGAGGAGACGGGTAGACTACTGGAGGAGCGTAGTACACTGGCGGCGTAGGAGATGAATAGACGGGAGGTGGAGGAGAAGAATAATAATAAAAAGGTGGAGGTAATTTATAATATGGTGGTTGAGGTGCATAGTAAACCGGCGGCAGCGGCGACTTATACATAAAAGGTGGCGGCGGAGAGTAATAGTAGCGGTAGTCTACCGCAATCGACGGCGAAAAGCTTAGAGCAAGAATTAAGAATGCAACAAGAAGGGAGGCCATTGAAGAACCCATATCTTGTAATTAGGGTTTGGGTTATACTTTTAGCACTACTCCTCCTTTATATAGCCACCATTTTCTTACCCCTTCAACCAAAACCAAGTCATTGTAAATTGTAAATAATTACAAACATACATATCATTATTACATAACCAAACTCATAAAATATTATCAACCCCACAATAAACAAAAACAAATTTGTATTTATGAAATTATTAAAAATAGAGTTGAAATTGATCAAGTTGTTGAGGATGGTTGGGAGTGAGTCCGAGAATGATCAAGGGTTTATCAGTGAGGAATACATCTTTTGGAGAACCCCAAAACAAAGTCACGAGAGATTATATCATACCATTGTGGAGGGTCGTGATTCCTAACATAGTATCAGAGTCATGCTCTAAACTTAGTCATGACAATAGAATCCTCAAATATCGAAATTGTTAGGGAGTTGTTGGGAGTGAGTCCGAGAATGATCAAGGGTTTATCAGTGAGGAATACATCTTTTGGAGAAGCCCAAAACAAAGTCACGATAAATTATATCATACCATTGTGGAGGGTCGTGATTCCTAACATAGTATCAGAGTCATGCTCTAAACTTAGTCATGACAATAGAATCCTCAAATATCGAAATTGTTAGGGAGTTGTTGGGAGTGAGTCCGAGAATGATCAAGGGTTTATCAGTGAGGAATACATCTTTTGGAGAAGCCCAAAACAAAGTCACGAGAGATTATATCATACCATTGCGGAGGGTCGTGATTCCTAACATAGTATCAGAGTCATGCTCTAAACTTAGTCATGACAATAGAATCCTCAAATATCGAAATTGTTAGGGAGTTGTTGGGAGTGAGTTCGAGAATGATCAAGGGTTTATCAGTGAGGAATACATCTTTTGGAGAAGCCCAAAACAAAGTCACGAGAGATTATATCATACCATTGTGGAGGGTCGTGATTCCTAACATAGTATCAGAGTCATGCTCTAAACTTAGTCATGACAATAGAATCCTCAAATATCGAAATTGTTAGGGAGTTGTTGGGAGTGAGTCCGAGAATGATCAAGGGTTTATCAGTGAGGAATACATCTTTTGGAGAACCCCAAAACAAAGTCACGAGAGATTATATCATACCATTGTGGAGGGTCGTGATTCCTAACATAGTATCAGAGTCATGCTCTAAACTTAGTCATGACAATAGAATCCTCAAATATCGAAATTGTTAGGGAGTTGTTGGGAGTGAGTCCCAGGCTAATTTAGGAAATGATCATGGGTTTATAAGGGAGCAATACATCTCGATTGGTATGAGACCTGTTGGGAAGCCCACGACAAAGCCATGAGAGCTTACACTCAAAGTGGACAATATCATACCATTGTGGAGATTTGTAATTCACGTAACCATCTCTTTTATCATCTAAACCCACGAAAATGGCTTATTTTTCCATGTTTCTAAGTTATTTATTTAATTATTTCGGGTATTATTCTATAAAATATTGTAGGATTTATGACTTTGTGCAATGGTAGCCATAATACACCAAGTCTATGATGTTGAAGCTCATTAATTTATTAATGTTAAAAACAAATATTCAAACTAGCATGGTTTTTATAAATTTTTTTCATATTGACTTAGCCATTAAAGAGTAGTATAAAGAGTGGATTTGGTAATTTTGAGTTTAATAAAATATAAGGTTAATGTATAGAATAAGGAATTAAAGAGAAAAAATCGTAGCTTCGATGTATACACCCAAATATTTAACAAACGGATAAACGTAAGTTTATATGACTCGACAATCTGATCAATCTTGTCTAATTAAAAGCATAGGAGTTAGGTTGGGTTAGATTTTTTTCGGTTTGGATTGAGTTGAATTTTTTAAGAACCGAAAAATATAGATTGGTTTGTGGGTTGAAATTATTTTGGTCCGTTCAATCTGAACAACCTGAAAATAAGGTTACAATCGACTCATCGTGACTCTATTTTAAAAATATTAAGAATATTTAACATTTCTAACTGATGTTAGTGATGCGTTGTGACTTGTAAATGTTTGATATTTAAATTTTACGAGATTTTAATTATTAATATACTTCATATTGTGGGTAGATATGATTTTTTTAAAAATAATAATACTACAAAAAATAACCGAACAACCCAACTCGAAAATAGAGGGTTGGGTTGATTTGTAAACTCTAGTCAAGTTGTTCGGGTCATCAACTCAATCAATCCAAAATTTAAGTTAATTTAAAAGATTTTTTCAACTCAACTTAATTCTTGTGTAGATTCGTGCTCGAGAATTTGATTGAGAAGAGCGCCAAAATTGCAAAGATAAGGATCAGGCTGACGACAATATTTTTATTTATGAATTTAGACTATGAATATGAAACTTTTTTGAAGCGAAAGATTTAAACATTCAACTTTTACGTAAATAATGTCGAGTTGAGATCTTTTCATTGTATTAGCATGATCAAATACGTCGTAGCTACTCCCTTTTCGATTCAAGTGCTATGTAGACTCGAGGGTGAAAAAAGGTGATAAAAATTTTCAATTTTAACTCGTAACTCAAAGAAGTAGTTTAAAAAAAAAAAAGATAAAAAATTTACAACTTTCGATAATATAAACTTAAAGATGACAATCGAATATAAAATAGGAATAATGTATCGGATCTAACAGCTCCCTATATGCTCTCAGGCAAGCAACTTACTTGTAGGCTCTCGTTGAATATCACTCATATTCAATGTTCTCAAGGCTACGTGTTTTACTTAGGCCCCAAAGTTAGTCAATTCTTTGGCTTAGCCAATTAGTCCTATCAGGTTTATACATTCATTGAACCTCAACACTCCTATTTCAAATGTATAAATTAGCTATCGAGATTTCTCGAAATTCTTGGTTCGACTTTTGATACTTTTTTATTACTCGAGGACAACGTGTACTTATACCTAACTAACCCTTCTTGCAAGGGGTACTCTCAACATGGGGTACGGTCTCGAGAGGAGACCACAAGGTCTCATAAGTTGAGCCAATATTCTACGTGTTCCAATTTTGATTTTAATGATAGGATTACTTATTGGATATTTATATTCTCGAATTTTTCTGGTAAAAATTTTCAGATATCGTTAATAATGTAAAATGCAAGAGACGAGAATGCTATGAGTTTATGCTTATGCATCTACATGAATTTTTTCATTTATTTTAAATCCAATAGACAAATGTAGCGATCCAACCCGTCCCGAACGGGAAGGGGATTCCCAACAGGAAATAGGGGACTTCGTTAGATAAATGGGGTTGGTGACAGAATTATATTCTCGTCTCCGCCCTATCCCCACCCCGCTTAATAACACACACACATATATACATACGTGTCTGACAACAACACCAGAGAATGCTAGCCCGACCAGAACGAGGCCTAGGAGGTGCACGTGGGTCCATATTCACTCGTATAGGTTGTGTGTAGAATAGTAAAATACACATCCAATGACCCGGTTAGGATAGTCACTTAAGGGAATACGACTTTAAGTTGAGAAGTCTCGATCATTTTGTATGTCTGCATTTTCTAACCCCAGTAGTGTGGTCACTTAATGAGTATTTCTTAAAATACTTCAAGCTATGTGCTACTTCTACCTTTTAGATAAAGGCAAGGCACCCCTACACGTTTGACGGCTATATCGCAAATTTAAAGACTATGACGGGTAGTTGTATTTAATTTCATAGACTTTAGATTAGTATAGGGCATTGCTGTTCGATTTCTACTTACGTCTATTTTAATTTTTGCGTTGTATTGTTTTAAGACATTTTTCTTAAACATTTACGTCCATGACATTGTTTTATCAAAACGTTTTAAATTAATATTTTCGTACAAGATGTTATGTAATACATGTGGTAGCGACTTTACGTTAGTAGAAAACTACGGTCGTTTCACTCAGAATAAATGCAGTTATATTCTTCTTTAACGTGGCATTAATTACAACATCATGTGATAATTTAAACCGTAACTCTAACCCTTCTTCTAAGGTTTACTCTCACAACATGGGGTTAAGTTCCGAGAGGAGCCCATTCATACACGAAGAAGTTGGGAGAGGTTGTGGAAGGACCAGGAAAGGAAAAGGGAAAGGTTTTACTTGATGAAAAGGCTCAGATCTCACATGTTAAGCCAATATGATACGTATTATGTGTGTCTATATGTTTCGATCCCGGTGATAGAATTACTTACTTAAAATGATATCGGCATAGTGACGAGTTTAGACATGAATATTATGAACTAATTGAAAGTAAAACAATAAAACAATATGCCATGATAGCAATGGCGTTACAAGCACATAAAATCAATCAAAATCATTCCAAATCATAAGGGATTATTCGGAAATCAGCAAACAGATTAAAGAGTCTTCATTGTAGAGGAATGATCAAATCTTCATTAGGGCTGTCCTCTTTATTGAATTGAAAATTGAATATATCATTGATTTTTTTCCTGCAAAATTAAGATAACAACAAGTTAAGGTAAAGTGTATATTGAAAAACATGCAGACAGTTAAGTAAACTGGAATGAAGCTCACATTTACCTAGTATGTAGTAGATTGCATATGTTGACCTAATAGTATGTAGGTGGTGGAGGAGATTTGTAGACAGGAGGTGGAGGAGACGAATAGACCGGTGGCGGAGGAGAATGGTAGACTGGTGGTGGAGGAGACTTGTACACGAGAGGTGGAGGAGAGTGATAGACTGGTGGTGGAGGAGAATAGTAGATTGGTGGTGGAGGAGACTTGTAAACTGGAGGTGGAGGAGAGTGATAGACTGGTGGTGGAGGAGAATAGTAGACTGGTGGTGGGGGAGACTTGTACACAGGAGGTGGAGGAGAGTGATAGACTGGTGGCGGAGGAGACTTGTAGACAGGAGGTGGAGGAGAGTGATAGACCGGTGGTGGAGGAGAATAGTAGACTGGTGGCGGAGGAGACTTGTACACCGGAGGTGGAGGAGAGTGATAGACTGGTGGCGGAGGAGACTTGTAGACAGGAGGTGGAGGAGAGTGATAGACCGGTGGTGGAGGAGAATAGTAGATTGGTGGTGGGGGAGACTTGTACACAGGAGGTGGAGGAGAGTGATAGACCGGTGGTGGAGGAGAATAGTAGACTGGTGGTGGGGGAGACTTGTACACAGGAGGTGGAGGAGAGGGGTAAACTGGCGGTGGAGGAGATTTGTAGACCGGTGGTGGTGGAGAGAGGTAGACAGGTGGAGGAGGAGAATAGTAGACTGGAGGTGGAGGAGAATGGTACACCGGTGGAGGAGGAGAGTAATACACCGGTGGTGGAGGAGATTTATAGACGGGAGGTGGAGGAGAATAATACACAGGTGGCGGAGGAGAATGATACACCGGTGGAGGAGGAGAGTAATACACCGGTGATGGAGGAGAGCGATAAATTGGCCGCCACTTATACGTAGGAGGTGGTAGCCAAGGAGCGTAACGATACTCTCTAGCCATTGATGGTGACACGCTTAGAGCAACAACTAAGACTGCAATAACAAGGGACGCCATTGAAGACGCCATATCTGAAGAGGATATACTTTTTGAAATGCAAATTTTGCTCCTTTATATAGTTTCAATTTTCATATCTCCTAAGCGCAAACCAAGTCGTTTTTAATTATTAAATAATTTAAAATATCCATTTCTTAATCACCAAACGTGGAATTAGTAAAAAATTATCAATAAATTATAATAAGATATAGTTTCGTTTTGAATTAGTATATAGTTGACCCATGTGTGTTCATAACACCATTTTAATTCCTTTTAATATTAACAACCAAAATTTTAGGTAATTTATTAATTTATTTTTTTAATTAAAGTTAAAAGTGATCAAGTTGGTTCCATAAGAACGTTTCAATAAGAAAGATTTGTTCAAATTAATTAACCCATTTTCAATTTTTTTTTAATTTCCTTAAAAAAAAAAAATAATCCTTAATCTCGGCTCGAGGACTGTTTAGGGTACGTTCTTTGGCTTGGCTTGGACATTTATTCTGTATCGCTTTTCCTACATTCAGGGGAGAACATGATTGATGAAATAACTTTTTAGATATATTGTCACGTCCCCAAGGACTAAGACCTGTAACGGCCCAGATCCACCGCTAGTAGATATTGTCCTCTTTGGGTTTTTCCTTTCGAGCTTCCTCTCAAGGCTTTAAAACGCGTCTGCTAGAGAAAGGTTTCCACATCCTTAAAGGGTGTTTCGTTCTCCTCCCCACCCGATGTGGGATATCACAATTCACTCTCTTTTAGGGTCCAACGTCCTCGTTGACACTTGTTCCTTTCTCCAATCGATGTGAGACCCTGTTAAGGATATTTAGTATTAAATTATAGTTTACTATATATATCATATTTTATATTTTATTATAACCCAAATATATAGATATTATCTTCTTAATAGTTATCTTTCTATTTATAGCTATTTCCATTTATTACTCTTCCATATATTTGTAATTTATTTGATTATAAATAGATAATTTTCACACGATTTAGGTGTGGTAGATTAACCAAACATTCTCAGACTCCCACCAAATCCACCCCCTTCGGGGCCCAGGGTTTTTATTGGCATACTGCATCGTGTCTACCCCCTTCAGGGAACAGCCTCCTCGTTGGCACATCGCCCGGTGTTTCGCTCTGATACCATTTGTAACAGTATTTGGATGAGCACCGATTTTGTTGTGTTGTATAACTCTGAAAGATGCGTTTTAAAGCCATGAGAGGAGGTCCGAGAGGGAAAATCCAAAAAGGACAATATCTGCTAGCGGTGAGTTGGGCTGTTACAAGACTACTTCTTACATAAAAAGTGAAAAGTAGATAAATGATCATCTACTTCTAAAAGAAATTGAAAATTTTCTCGGGAGTCCTACAAGATTCACTCAATCGTTTTTTTTTTCTAACAGATGATCATAACTTCATATGAACTCGAATCCTATCAGAAGATCTAAAAAAAAAAAAAAAAAATTATCGAAGAATTAGCCAAAGTATGGTAGTCTATTTTTGACTTTTTGCAATAATTGACTATATTATGGTTTAATAACAAGCTAGCCATGGCCAACTAGGCCTACGATGTTGAAATTTATTTGTTCTAGTTAAAAAGAAATATTCAAACTAGCATATTTTATTTATTTATTTTAATTGATGTACCAAATATTCTATATATTTGGTGTGAAAGTTCATTATAGAAACTTGAATGTCGTGTAAACTGCGTCGTTTCATACGTGAGTTTATGAATTATTGAATTATGTAACATAAGATGTGTATCCATTAATATATATTATGAGTTTGTGTAGCTTTATGAAATTAAAAAATACAAATATATATCGTAATTTTGAGGGACCTTAATGGCTAGTTACCCAAAATATACAACGTGTATACATTAGATCCCAGAGATTACCGGTTGTGCGAGTATCTAAGTATTTTTAATACTCATCCATTTTTTAAAATGATTTTCAAGTAAAGCAAGCTTGTGGTACGAGAATAACGAGCATGGTGGAGAAATTGGTCATGGGACAACTCAAATGCTTTTGATTTAACTTGATTTGTGAACCGATTGTGCTTTCCTAATAGAGATTTCCGTGTTTCAACGAACGGTTTCAATCGGTACGTGTGCGGAAAGTTAGGTCAATGTAATTGGTGTCAGAGTCTAGTTTTGAAGTTGTTTAGACGATTTACGTTGTAAGTTATATAAAATTTCTATGACTAAGCAGTTAAATATGATAATATTTGAATAGTATCATGTGTTTTGTTTTTATTAAATGTATGATTTGATATGCATACTTAACTTAAAAAGAAAACGTGCATGCTTTATAAATCAAACTTTAAGGAGTCGAAACTTATGATATGTTGTTTGAAATATTAGGAAATTGTTCTTGCAAGAGCCGTGTAATCTAATCTTTTGCCAATGGCTTATCTAGGTGCACGAGAATTGCATACTATTGTCGGTTCGGTTGGCATAAATTTGTGGCTATGTTGAGTTCTTGTGGATGTATGTTTTGTACTAAACAAGTATATGCTTGATATCGATGTGTATTAGACTCTAAATTTAGCTAAAGTACGATTTTGGTGTCAGTTACGACCTTGAGAAAGGAGGAGAGATCGGAAGAGACTAAAGGATTTCAAAAGTCATTGGTTGACACTGTCTCATAACTTGAACTAAAGTGTGATTTTCTCGTGTGGTGAGAACACTGAGAATTCTAAAATATAAAAGTTTTCGAGAGTTACGAGTTAGAAAAGTTTAGATCTTGGAAGATATGTCAGGATTATTATTGTAACTTTGAACTTTAGTACTTTTTGTTGACAAAAGGTTACGAGACATTGCTATGAAACTCAGCTTTATCGTGAAAATTTCTATTTCAAGATATGAATAAATCAATATTCTTTTAAGCTTCTTCCTTGAGATTGCTTCGGAGTTTACTCGAGCACCATTTTGGTTGAGAGTTGTTATTACGACAGTGACCACTATCGGAATAAAACTTTGAGGATTTAATAGTGAAGGGTTTATGTAACGTCCTTAATATTCTTATCTAGATCAAAGACGTCACTACATGCATGCCTTTAATAATATATGCAAAAAAATTTAATAAAACCTTTCAAACGATGGTACTTGACATGCCTCCCCGTTCCCCAACTGTCTCGGATGAAGATCGCGGTGGTGATGACCATACCCACGCCATGAACCTAATTGATGTTCGACGTCATCGCTAGTGGCCATTATGATATTGCAATTAACATAGATTAGTACGAAGATTTTAGATAATAAATGAAGTTGACATATTATGCTTCTTAAGCCATGAGACTTATTTCTTTGTATTTCTCGTGTTTAGATTTGCATGCTAGAGTAATTCAAATAGTTTTGAGCCAGCTATCTTGGGAAGTGATTCGAATCACGAGTTTAAAAACAAGTTTTCTTTACTCTTGATCTTGATCATCAAGACAATCTGTTTCAAAACTTTTTCTTGGATTAATTTCACATCGTTTTGGAGTTGATAATTTAGATCTAAAGGTATTGTTCTTTCGTAAGGTTCATAGATCAAATTCTAAGAATGAAAAATATATGAAAATAGGTTTTGAAAAAGATTCTCACTCAAGAATGAAAAATATCATCGAAGTATATGGACAACCCTAGTGTCATTTCGAGATTAAAAAGTAACAAGAAGGCCATAAGTCAATTTTGGACAACCCTAAGTGATAATGAGTCTAGTGTCAAGTGTTCGAAGTATACGTCTTATGTAGACAAAGTTATGTTTCTCGATCACGTATAGATACAATTTTTAGTTGGCCTAAACTAACATTGTGATTCTAATTTCTACGTTCACGTGAATTAGTTATGTATGTATTAACATGAGAAGATTTGTACTTATACCTCGCAACTAAAAAAACGAGCACGGAGTTACTTGTCCTACTTACTATTGTAAAATTGTATCAATGATAATTTTTTTTTTTTTTTGTGTATAATAAGGTTTTAAACTGAATGTTTTGTAGTTTCGGTAGCTAGTTACTAATAGTCACTTTGAAGAGTGGTTGTTGAAATTTTTTTTTGTAGTAAAGGTTACACGTTATATGTATCAGGTAACCAATCATTGATAATCATTTTAAGGACGATGAAACTAATTTTTCTGTGGTAAACATTACACAATGTCTGATGATGATAACTAGCTGCTAATGATTTTCAAGTAAAAACGAGGTTGTGGAGCGAAAATGTCTCGTAGGACTCTATGCTTGGTCAGAAATAGTTACTACACCAAGTACTATTTTTACCCAAGGTTTTGCTACTTCACGTTTTTTTTTTTAACTGAAATGCATCACTCCCGGGAACAACTATGTAGTTTTACGTTTTCAAATGCTTTCGGTTTTACTTTGATTTGTGAACCGATTGTACTTTTGTAATAAAGTTTTTCATAGTGTTCTTAAATGTTTTAGTTGTTTGAACGACTCCGATCGATATACGTATGTAAAACAATGAAACAACAGGTCTCCTTATCTTATCTTATCTTAATATTCTTCGATCTAGAAAATATTCTTCTCGAGATGAAAAAAACCCTAATTTACAAGAGAGTTTGTTTCTTATACCCAAATTAAAATTTGAAAGATTGTTAAATTAAATCATATTATTGAATTAGCCGTTAAGAGGAGAAAAAAAAAAAAAAAAAAACCCACTTTTCTAAAATAAAATAAAAGAAAATAAAGAGGAAAGCCCTAACTCTTCCCTCCACGCCACCACGTTCTCCTCAGCTGCTCAGTGGCGTCGCCGCATCCTCCGGTTCAGTGCTGCCGCCGTCGTCGTCGTTGTTCTTCTGCTTGTGCCGCTGCAGTCTGTCTCTTAGGGGTTTTGCACTGATTTGCTACTCTTCATTGGTAATTCTTCCATTCTCCAACTCTGTCTTTCTTCTCACTTGAAAAACACAAATTAAGCCTTGTCGAATGGAAGGAGCATTTGTTTGATATCTATCTATCTATCTATATATATATATGTATGTATGTATGTATGTATGTATGTATTTGAAAGATAACAATAGCGAAAAAAGAAAGAAAAAGTCTTGCGCCAAATTAGGACGTGATTTGTGTTAGGCTGTTCCAATTTAGACGTGGGCTAATCGCCGTTTAGAATTGTTGCATATGTTCAAGGCTTTGATCTGCTTTTTGATGGTTTGATTTTTTTTTTTCTTTTCCTTCTGCTTTTCCAATTTTCTTCTTCTCTCTCTTATTGAATAATTCTCCCCTCTATAATGATTATCTATTTTGTGCTGTTTCTATGATTATTTGTTAGCCGATTTTTAATTTCTGTTTGCTTGAATTGTCTATTTATCTCTTTCGTTTTCATTTGAAGTTCACATTTAATCTTTCTGTCCCTGACTGTCATTGATGTTAAGAATCTAATTATTCTTGTGGATCTTCGAGATTTGTTGAATTTGTGTTCTGTTTTTCAAATAAAACCAAATTTGATCTTTTTTCATCTCATCTATTCTCTAGTTCTTTATTGCTCAAATTCTGATTAATCGGGTATCTAATATGTATAATACCCTTTTGAAATTTTCTCAAATGCATGCATGGCTTTAGGTTCTTTTTCTTATTGATACACGTTCATCAGACTTGAATTCGTTTATTTTTTGGGTTGTTTTCAATCTTGGATTTAAACTCTGAGATAAAATGGAGAAACATCAAATCTTCAAGTGACTTTGATGGACACTCTTTTTTTTTTTCTTTAGGAAGTATTGACTTTGTCTTGATCGAGGTCATAATCATAATCCAGTTCAGTGAAATTTAATTTGATGACTCTAGTTTGTTAAATTAGACCAACAACATCAATTAAAACATCTGATTCAATTAAGATCCATTTTTTTATATCAAAATTGTATGATCATAATATAAGTGCCATTGAATATACATCTAACATCTATATTGAATTTTAATCTTTGAGACATTTGGAGTTCCGGGTTTAACAAAAGTTCAACAAAAACAAGACAAAAGAGAAAGGTGAGTAATTTTGGAGATCTCCTAAAAGTCAGCATCGTCCATCAATTTATCAAGTGAGGGGTAAGGAGAGAAAGAGAGAAAGAGAGAAATTTGATTGGGAGAGAGAATTCGTGACAAATCTGAAAATGAGATGGAATAAATCTGAATACGTAGTTCACTGAAATGGAATGGAGTTTGAATATCATATATAGTGTATAAATGAATAGCAAATAGGAAATCATTGACTTCACTTTTATGGAACATAATTGACGTCTTTTTAATTTTGTGTGATTTGTATTATTACTTGTGTGGTTTGAACATGTGCTGTGTCCTTCGGCATGAACTTTCTGGGTAAAATGTGTTTTTTTTTTGTCAAATTTAAATCATACAAGTTTGATCTTTAGTTCCCAAGATCCCAAGTCTACCTTTCAATAATCATACACCGCCGCTCATTTGTGCTTGGATAGAGCAAAAATGAGGGGAAACCAATTGGCTAAGGGGGTTTCCAGCAACTTTCTATCCTGCCAAAAGGTTGAAGATGATCCATTGCTTTAAGAAATGGTATAGTCAAAGAGGCGCTTTAAAATAGATTTCCATGGTACGATTGGCAATAGCAGTAGGTTTTCATTGGAACAGACCACCTTCACGAGGAGCTCAAAAAGAGACGTGTAATATTTGGGAAGGTTGGTAATTGTGGTTTGGATGAGGGTGAGTCTATCTCCTTTTGAGTTTTCCATGAGAGAAGTCTCCTCTCAATTTTCTCAATTATAGACCCAAAAGACCATGGAGATGGAGAGGGAGAGCAAGGTATGTACTTGGCCAAGATCCTACCTTACAATCTCGTAGGTTATGATCCAAGCGGAGGCCTAAATAAGATGGAGAAAAAGATCCATCCTCACACCCAATCAAAATAGCCCATTTATTCAACTTAACAGTATATTCAAACCCAAAAGGTTTCCATTTTTTTTTTATCACTTAGATAATAAGCATTTCTGTTTTATTTTTGTCCATTCTCGTTTACTATGTTCTATTTTTTTCCTTACATTTTCTGCATCATCTTTCCGTAACTTTTTTTTTCTTCCTATTTGTATGTAATGTGAAGGCTGTCACCTTTGCCCCTCATTTCTTTTTGATGTAGAATCATAACTATGATTCATTTTTCATTTATTCAATAGGGGGTCATGTTTGCCTTAGTACGTCTGATTTTTACTTATATTTTTAACGATTAGCTTAATTACGCCAACTCTTTTAATTTTTTTTAGAATACAATATTGTTGCTTGTTACGGAAAAAAGTTGCATAACATTGAAGGATTGAGGTCTAAAACCATACCAATTTGAATCAATTTATGCCTTCTGACATATATGGATAGAAGTCATTAAAAATCCTAATTTGAAGCGCTTTCTTGTTGCAGAAATAATGGGTTTACAACTGTTTGATGGAAGCGATTCTGACAATGATGACTCAAAGATAGAAATTAATCGGGATTATGCAAAGAAGTTTGAGCATAATAAGAAGCGAGAGGATCTTCAGCGCTTAGAGGAGCTAAAGAAGAAGGGTCTAATTGAAGACTCTGAATCAGGAAGCTCAGAATCTGAATCATCTTCCTCCGAGGATGAAGAAGGCAGCCAAAGTAGGAAGGACCTGGAGTTTTTTGATGCATTAATCAAGGTCAAGAAGCATGATCCAACCCTTAAACAGAAAGACGCCAAGCTTTTCGATTCAGATGATGACAACTCTACAAAGGAAAGTGACAATGTCAAAAGTAGTTTAACAGAGAAGAAGAAAAGTAGTATGTATTTGAAAGATGTGGTAGCAAAACATTTGATTGAAGAGGGCCCTGAATTCAATGATGAGAAGCCTAAAAATGTGAAGATTTATGATAAGGAGCAAGAGGAGATACGCAAGGCATTCTTGGAGGCAGCAGAAATGCAAGTTGAAGATGATGAGGAAGCATTGTTAAAAGTGAAGGATAAAGGTATGGTAGAAGAGGAAAAGGATGAAGAATTAGAGAAGAAGTTGGATGAGTATTTTGGGGATGGGGATGACCAATTGGATGAAAATTCAAAGTTCTTGAAGGAGTACTTTAAGAATAAACTTTGGCTCAGTGAAGATGGAAAGGTCGGGGAGGAGGAGTTGGAGATGCTGTCGGAGGATGAGGAAGAGATTGAAAAACAAGAGGAATATGAATACAAGTTTCAAGAAAATGTAGGAGATAGCATTATAGGGCATAGTAGGACTATTGAGGGGTCAGTTAGGAAAAAGAAGAATTCGAGGAAGGAGCAGAGGAAGAGTAAGGAAGAGAGGATGGAGATTGCAAGATTAGAGAGGAAGGAGGAGTTGAAGCATTTAAAAAATTTGAAGAAGGAGGAGGTAAAAGAGAAGCTTAGGAAGATTAGGGAGACTGCAGGAATTGGGGAGGACGAGACTTACTTATTGAATATCAAAGATTTAGACGAGGAATTTGATCCAGAAGAGTATGACAGGATGATGAAGGTGGCTTTTGGTGAAGAATATTATGAGAAAGAAGACGTTGATCCTGGGTTTGGAAGCGATATGGATGATGAAGGTCATGGTGAGATTGAGAAACCCGATTTCGACAAAGAGGATGAGTTGCTTGGACTGCCGAAAGGATGGGCTTCATCTGAGTCAGGTGATGGCTTCTTAGCAGCTAGGCAAAGGAGTTTAAGCCATAAAATTGATAATGATCCAAGTGATGAAGAGAATAATGAAGACGATGAAGAACATGACTATGAGGATGAAAAAGGCAAAAGAAAGAGGAAGCGTAAATTGTCTCTGTACAAAAGAGCTAAAGAAGCCATGATGGAGGAATATTATAAATTAGATTACGAGGACACAATTGATGACATTAAGACGAGGTTTAAGTATGCCAAAATACAACCTAATCGTTATGGATTAAGTACTACCGAAATCCTGGCATTGGACGACAAGGAGTTGAATCAGTTTGTTTCTTTGAAAAAGTTGGCCCCTTATAAGGAAGAATGGAAGATGCCAAATAGTACTAGACAGCGCCTGAAAATGAGGACCAAGGAGCTCCTTAAAGGCAAACAATTTGGTGAGCAGAAAGATGGCTTAAAGAAAAAGATGAAGAGCTCCGACTTGCACACTTTGGACGACAACGAGAATGAGAAGAAAAAGATGAAGAATAGCTCCGACTTGCCCAATTTGGATGCCGATGAGAATGACAAAGTACAAACTGAGGATTCAAATGTTGATAGCAGCAATTTATCTAGGAAAGCCAGAAGAAAACTACGACAAGCTGAATTTAAATTGTCACACAGTAGGCTCTTGGGATACGGCAAGATAACCTTGAAACCGAAGAAGAAAACAAAACACTGATCATTCGAAAGCAAGCTAGCAGGTGATTCTTCTTGTCAATCACTAATGAGTTAACTTCTGTGTTTTATTATTCATTTCTTTGTCCTCCTTGTGCTCTTTTCTCAACATTTTATGATGGTGTATCTGAATTATGAATATCTAAAGAAAACATAGCACACAAAGTAATGCAGGTTAGTTCCTAGATTGAGCGACAGAGTCTGGCATAACGTTTTATTTTCTTTTTTTTGTCACGTTTTTTCTTTTCTCGGTTAAACCTGGCAGTCATTCCCTACTTGTTATATTGTAAAAGTTTGAACATAAAAGCTTTAGTTTGGTAGATTTTGTGCTTGAACCATTCCTATTGTTATTATGTTATTATACCCTTCTAGTTAAGCTTCATTCGTTTGGACTTAGTAATAGCCATTTGTAGAGCCTAATTTTATTGGGACAATTCCAAATAGGGACTAATTTACTAAAATTTCTGGAAAACTCTTGGAGGAAATGACTATGGAGATTTGAATAGTTCTTTTGGTTGTAGCTGTGGTTTCGTTTTGTTAGTATGGAATGTTTTTGGGTGTTCCTTAATTCAAAGAGCAATAACTTAAACATTAGGAATGGTTTCATTTTCAGTCGAAAAACCATTTTTCCATCGTTTGGTTACATTTGCTTGGGTATATTTTGTTGAGACGTGTACTATACCATGGCTTGTTAATGGTTGCTTATAGAATCTGCATGATTAATTTTTTAGGGAAAAAGAACTATTTATATTTCTAAATTTGGGAGGTTATATCTATTAAATTTGGTAGGGCTAAACTATGAGTATGATCCCTTGCTATGAGTATAGTCCCCAAGAGAAAATTAAAATTTAGTCCATATGATTTAAAAATTTGAATTTATCCCTATGGTTTGATAAAATTCTCATAAATTGTTTTACCATAGTTCGTAGTATAATGTCTCAGGTTTTAAGATAAGATTATTTTATCCATTTGAAGATTAATTTAAACTTTATTATGTCTAATTAAGTTGAATTTGATTGGATTATTGAAGTTGTAGCTATTTTTTGACCTCCAAAATGACCTCCATATGAAGTTGCACGACATTGCTCTAAAATGGATTATATTTTATCGTTTGAGAGACAATGAGTAAGCATATCATAAACACATTACTTAAATAGGAAGGGATCATCCTATAAATAACTTTCTGCTCTATGGAATAATTTTTCTTTTGCTGTCTAGACAAGTCTTTAGGGATATCCACAATTAACTGTTGAACATCAAGGAAGGAATTCTTAATGTCTTCTACTCAGGATGCTCAAGACTAGACAGATGATAAGCCACTTGAGTGTTAGACCCTTTTGTATCTTTAATCTCTATTTCAAGTTCTTGTAACAACAGGATCCACGGAATCAACTTTCGCCTTGCATCTATCTTAGTCATTAGGTATTTGATTGCTGTGTGGTCCGTGCATACTTTAACCTTTGCGCCAACCAAATAGGACGAACACTACAGCCAACAACTCCTTTTTAGTAATGGTATAATTGATTTGAGATTCATATAATATTTTACTAGCATAGTAAACTAGGTGCAGTATTTTTTCATTCTTTTGTCCAAGCATTGCACCAACAACATAATCACTAGCATCATACATTAGTTTAAATGGAAACTCTTGATTGAGTGAAAACAATATAAGTGCAGTGATCAAGGCCGTTTTAGTGCTTAAAATTCTATTAAACACTTCTCATCAAACTCAAAATTCTTGTTTACTTCTAGTAGGTTGCAGATGGGTTTTGTAACTTTTAAGAAAAAAATTCTGCATATTCTAAGAAGCTTATCATCCTTAGGGTTATAGTGCATTTATACACACCCACCACAGTTCTTCCTATTTTAATGAAAGGTCTTCCCAAATGATATGTACATATTTATCAGCCTCATAGTCCAAAATTTAAAAGATCTGATAGGAATATAAATTTATCTACTTGCAATAGGATATCTTCAATGTCTCCTTCAGGATAAGTGATAGATCTATTAGCTAGTTGAAGTGTGAATGAGATTAGTCGAGCTTTACCAATACCCAACAGAAAGAGGCATTAGGTTGATGCTTGTTCACAGATATCAAAGAGCTCTTCCTAGCAACTGTCCTCTAATTGACATTGAAATAGTGAAGAATCTAGAGTCTCTCTTTTTGAGGTATCTTATTTTTCAGGACTGTACATTCCTCATTCAATGGAACTACCTTAAACTCTTCAAACTTTTTCCACTTTGTGACGATGTCCTTGAGGAATTTTGCATGGTTATGCATTTGCTTGAGAGCTTCTATAATGGTGTGTTTATATGTATTTTCTTTAGAATGTCCATAAACTTTTCTAAGTGGGTTTCCTCTTCTTCTTCAATCTCGTGAAAAAAGGAGGGAGATGGGTATATGCTTGTTTGGTGAAGGGGACACAACTTTATGATTCTATTGGCTTCACTTAACAAACCTCCTCCTCATTGAGCACTGTTTAACTTCTGATTCGGTTGTGGCTTATTGAATTCCAAAATTTTGTTGATTTTGTTCAAATCTAGGGAGATAGTTCAGTTTCTATTGCATATGAGAGTTGTTAGCATTATGTCCTAAATCTCCATGGGAAAATTTTGAATGATTTCTCCCCTCAGGGTTAGACAGTGTTTGAGAATGGATTATTTCCCTGATTCCCTTGGTTTGCAACATAGACAACTGAGGTGGATTTTTTGGGAAAAATTTGAATGTTGTTTTGTCGAGCTCAGTTTTGGTTCTTGGTTTGATGGTTGTACGTGCTAAAAATCCGGTACATTTCGTTTTGTTTCCCTTCCCATTTCAGTCTTTCGCAACACTTCAGGGGTACTTTTGTTAGGTCTCGACTTATTCTCTATGATCTTCCAATAGTTTATATTGGCTATTCGTTGTCATTCTCTCCAACACACACATGATTCAATAGATACTTGCAGAATTTCTAGTCTGATTGGTTGCATCATTTGGTGTCTTTTAACTCAAGGTTTAGCTTTACTTTAGGATCAAGATTTGGTACGAGTTGTTCTATCATTCTAGCTCTTCGTTCAATCAATCTTCTATTAAAAGTTCTTTCAAGTTCTTGATCTAATAGAAACTCTAGGCCATAATTTTATAATGTCTGCTTTGGCTTAAGTTCATAACTCTTTACAATGGTCTTCTTAATCTTGCTTAAGTAATTTGGATGTAACAGGTAGGAGAAATTCCAGAGCAAAGTCATTACACTTATGACATGGTATATAAAAATTGACACAACACTATCAAAGATAGATGAACAGTGGAGGGAAAGAAGAATTAGCATAAGCTTCCTCAAAGTTCCCTTAGTTCCATCTTCTTGCTTTAGATACTCTTTGTTTCTATGTTGGCTATTCTTGCGTCTATGCTCTCCTAAGAGATAAGTAAACCTTCCTAGGCTTCCTTTCTTGGGTCTGTTTTCTTGTAACAGGTATCTTGTCAATCTTCCTCCACATTCTACCAAAAAAACGACTCGTATTCTTTTATAATCTCGAGTTGATCGAATTCAAGACAAATTAGGCATGCCCTCCTCTTTGCACGATTTTCATTGATTCTCTTCTTACGTAGCTGTCCTCTTTGGTGTCTATGGCTTCATTAATTGATGTATCATCTGTACATGAGGTTCTTACTTTTACTTCAAAAAATGTCAAACGTAAGTTAAGTATTTAAAAATAATTAGTAAGTGACATTAGATTTGAAAAATGCAACACATGCAAGGGACCTACTTTTTGTTACTATTCCTTGGGTATAGTTTATTTTTTGGATAGAGTTATATGTATAGTACTTCTCTAGACATTGAGCACGTAAGCATGCATGAACCTATTAGGCTGACTTGTATATGTACCCCCTAAGCTTGACTATGGGTTAGTGCATGCTCACACTACTAGAAACCAACAAAAAGAAAGGAGCATATATCATATCATGACGTACATGTTCGTACGTAACATATTACGTAACATATTAGGACAGTAACTTGTTCTCAGGACATACAACATGCATGAGGTCTTATATTTTAAATCATTGTACATGGTCATGACATGCATCGTACTTATTTCATGACATGAATTCCCTATGAGACATGCACACATGCAAGAAATATCATTCAACTTATGGGACATAATGTGATCATAGTATCATAACATATATAAATCAATACACTTGAAAGTACATGTAACACAACATATCATAAGCATATCCATATTTCATAAATAAGCCAAAAGTTGTGTTAGTCATATATCACAATTTATCCAACCTAGTCTGAAGGCACTCTAATAGTAAGCTCATTTATCTCATTCTTTAGGTCGAAACGTTGTTGGTTCGGGTGGCTGAGGGTGTGTGGGTTGGGTTTTGGTAGATTTGTTTTTTGAAGCTAAGGTTTGATTTCACAAAATGATGTCATGAAATTATACATCGAAGCAAAATATTTGAAGTAAATTAAAATAAAACAAAGCAAAATATTGAAAAATCAATGAATATCCGAATGATTCATTAATACATGTCAATATCATGTCATGCAATGTATTATGTCGTTCAACATTTCCTATTCAACATATTGTACCTTTCAACTTTCTTTCAAAAACACATCATATCCTTCAACATATCATACAATTAAAGATATCATAGCATATAACATATCACATCATAAAAAGTACACATATCAAACATATGACAAGTGCGGGGCCATTGAACATGTGTCATCTTGCATCACACAAATCTTCCAACCATACCGATAGTAAGGTCACTTACTTCGTTGGCCTTAGCCAACATTCTATCCTATCTTCGATATTAACTTGACTTATCCCTCAAAGTTTATAGAACTTCCCCTACATCCACGGGTAGCAACCAATCACTAATAAACAAAGTGTTACAAGTGAATACCTCACTATCACACTACAAAGACTCACCAATATGTCACTCAACAAATACGATGTGACCCTCAAAACTCTCCCAAATCCCGATATCAAATTCCGATATCAAATCTCGATATATCACTAAACCCTGGTATGACTAAATCTAATTCAAATAATCTAATCCAAATAATCAAATCAAAACTTTTACAATTTACAATAATCTTCTCCTTGTCATAAGATCTCCAAGTTGATAACTGATTGGTTGCTACCTCCTCAAGCCTCAATACTTATGTTGGGAACTCCATCAATCATGAGAAAGCATATGCTATCGTATCATCAAACCTTGCAGGTTTTCGAATTACCCTTCGTGGTCTATTCTTGTCGATAGACTCATGTTCCTCCACTCTTTCATTTACGAGGCTTTGCTTCTCCTGTTCTAAGACATCAGAGTTATTATCTACCTGATCAATAAGTTCTTCAGTAGGAGCAACCATATCAGGAGAG